TGGTTACACTTCTCTACACCAGAAATAATGGATTTGAAAATAAAATTACAATAAGATAACAAATCATAATTACAGCAAAGTCCATAAAATGTCTCAGAATTAACTGAGCATACACGGGACCACTATGCAAAAGTGAATTTTAAAAAGCATAATACAGGTGTCTGGGTGACTCAGTCGGTTGAGCATCTTACTCTTAATTTCAGCTCAGGTCATGATCTAAGGGTCATGGTATTGAGCCCCATGTCAAGCTCTGCACTGGGCGTAGACCTGTTTAAGTCTCTCTCTCTCTCTCTCTCTCTCTCTCTCTCTCTCTCTCTCTTTCCCCCACCCCGTCTCTCTCCCTCTGCCCCTCTCCTCTGTTCTCACTCTCTGTTTCCACATCAAAACAAACAAAAAAAAAATCCTTACAGTAAAATATGTCTCAAAAAATATATGCAAAGAGTTACATAAGCCTTGCACTAGGGTAAGGGACAGAAATGGGTAAAGGATAGAGTATTCTCTGAGATCCCTGAGTGGGAAATTACTGTCTTCTCTTATGACTAAGCAGTGGTCCCTGCCCAAGACCAAAGGAAGCCCAAGTTTTGCATCTTCCCACCCCCACCACCACCACACTGCCACAACTTTGGCTTCTTTCCTTCACATTGTAAATGTGCCAACTGTCCTATATTTCTCCTGGGATCCACATTTCTCCTGCCCAGTGTTTGTGCCGAACGCTGTGCGGGCTCCCAAGTTCCACAGCTTCCTCTTGTTTTGAACCTTGCCCTGAAAGCAGGGGAGGGCAGTGAGGTTAGAGTTTTTACTCCATTGGCTCCCTTCCAAAGTCACCTTGGACAGTCTATGCCCCATGACTGAAAGGCACTGTTGCCAGCAAGGTAGTGACACTGTAGGACTAGCTCTACTTCTGAACTCTGATGACTCCTCCAGTCCCTTGCCTCTTTGGACCTTGTGGTAATGACAGCCCACCTGCTGCTACCTCCAGATGACACTGTACTAGCCCCCACACACCTCTTTGTAAATACTTCCTTGTACATAGATTCTCCTTGAACTGTCTTATTTTGAACATGCCATCTGTTTTCTCTTGAGGCCCTAGGACAATGAAAGTCATTTCTTCATTCCTTGCCTCTGACCAGTCTGGCCAAGGGCTTTTGGAAACCTCATTTGCAATGGAAAATGGGGAGAAGGATCAGGAGAGTACGTGAATCCCCTGCCTGGGACAATCTTTTTGGTTTTGGAGCCTTTCCACTCTCTGCAGCCCTTGGGGATTGGCCTGGAAAAAAAATAATTTTCCTAAATAAACACTGAGATTAAACACCAATCTTCTTCTGTTCTTTTCACATGAATATGTACATGATAAGGAAATAAAGACAACCTGGAGCACAGGAGCACGCTGTCATTCAGGAAAAAAGCACTGAGGCTACACCTTCCCATTGTGTGTTTGGGTTTTATTCCCATTGTCTATTATTTTTTTTTAATCTGAGTATAGTTGACACACAATGTTACATTTGTTTCAGGTATATAACATAGTGATTCAACTTCTCTATGAGTTATACTGTACTCACAAGTGTAGCTACCATCCATCACCATACAGCGCTATTACGGCTATTACAATATCATTGACTATATTCCTTAGCTGTGCCTTTCATTCTTGTGATTCATTCATTCCATAACAGGAAGCCTGTGTCTCCCACTCCCCTTCACCCATTTTGCCCATCTCCCTGTCCCCTCCCCTCTGGCCATCATCAGTTTGCTGTGTTGGGGGTTTTTAATGTTTGTTTGTTTATTTATTTATTTATTTATTTATTTATTTATTTTGAGAGGGAGATACCATGATCAGGGGAGGGGCACAAAGAGAAGGAGAGAGAGAGTTCCAAGCAGGCTTCATGCTGTCAGCTCAGAGCCTGACACAGGGCTCGAACTCATGAACCGTGAGATTATGACCTGACCTGAAATCGAGAGTCAGATACTTAACCGAGTCACCCAGGCAGACCCAGTTTGTTCTCTTGTGTTTACAGGCCTGATTCCGCTTTTTGTTTTTTCATTTGTTGGGTTTTTTTTAGATTCCATATTATGATTGAAATCATATCAAAAGAAGAACCTCAAACTTGAGGTCAACACGGTTCTCTAAAGTATTGATATCTGCCCCAAGGGTTGAAGGAACTCCTTGCATGGCGCATGCCCTCATGAACATAGACCCAGCTCCATTATGAGTCGGGCGTTGGACTAGATGAACTTTAAAGTCAATTCCAGCTCCCAGTTCAGCTTTTAAAATGAACAAGACATTGAAGTGAGAGAACCGTGTATTGTACCACTTGGATTAGATACAACCCAACAGTGCAACTCCCTCTCTCCTCTTTCTCTCTCTCTCTCTCACTCACACAGACACACACACACACACACACACACACACACACACCTACCTTTTTGCATTTGATTATGTTTAACATTCTACTCTCCTTACACAGTCTGGGAGCTGGCCCACCATTAGTCCAGTTTTACTTTCCATCCAGACACCACTCCTTCCCCTATGCAAGGACAGGTAGCTCCTCCCTTTTCTCCTTAATCTAGCTTCCTGGATCCAAGGAGACCTAGAGGGCACTTTTTCCTACTCCTCATCGGAAAGGGGACAGCCCTCCCCATAAAACAAAACCCCACAAAGTTGGGTCTGATACAAGCCTGCCAGGAATCTCCAGAAGGGTACTAGAAGCTTTCAATTAGCTGATTCCCTCCTTCCTTCCCCTGGGGGCCCTGTCACTTTGACCTCCACTGCTGTGACCAGACCCAGACCCTTTGGATATGCAGCTTCTTCCAAATCAGCCTGTCATTGACATGACCCAGAGCCCCATCCCCAGACCAAACTAGCATCTCAAAAGGAATTTGCTTTGTCGAACAAACAAAAATAAAAACACTGAAAGGAAAAATGAAAATGAAGCAATACAAGACTTAAAACAGTGAGTTTTTAGAGAAAGTCAAGTTGGGGGCACCTGGGTGGCTCAGTCAGTTAAGCCTCCAACTTCACCTCAGGCCATGATTTCAGGGTTTGTGAGTTCGAGCCCCACATCGGACTCTGCACTGACAGCTCAGAGCCTGGAACCTGCTTCCTATTCTGTGTCTCCCTCTCTCTGGCCCTCCCTCACTCATGCTCTTTCTCTCTCTTAAAAATAAATAAACAGGGGCACCTGGGTGGCTCAGTCGGTTAAGCGTCCGACTTCGGCTCAGGTCGTGATCTCACAAGCCCCGCGTCGGGCTCTGTGCTGACAGCTCAGAGACTGGAGCCCGTTTCAGATTCTGTGTCTCCCTCTCTCTCTGCCCCTCCCCTGTTCATTCTCTGTCTCAAAAATAAATAAACATTAAAAAATTTTTTAAATAAATAAATAAACATAAAAAATTTTTAAATTTTAAAAAATAAAGTCCAGTAGAGGTGAAAGATTATTTACATTATATATAAGCTGATTCATTAAATGTTATATGTAAATGCAAAAAAAAAAGAAATATAAAACTGATAAAATTTCTAGAGATTAATTTCTGAACCTACATTTACCAATTAGCACAGCGCACAGCACTTTCCCTGTTCTGACCTTATATGGATGGCCTTGCTCTGAGAATAACCATTCTGAATTCATGAGCACTTTCCCCTCCCATTGACTTCTTCAGTAAACTTCTTCCAGGACAAATGCCCGGATCGCAAGGATCCTTCTGGGGAAAGCGTGGATGTGGAGGGGATCTATTCATTGGTTCTGAGGCACCTACTTTGGACATCAATTCTGTAAGAACAGTGCTTCCCCCATTCTTCTGCAGGCTCCCATCAGCGTAGAAACAGTCCAAAGATGAAGGGTTCTAGCCCCCATGACCCCCCCTCACACACACACACACCCACATTCATGGATAGCAGCACACAGAGTAATGCAGTTTGTCTTCTGCCTCTTCCCCCAGCTCATCAGATTCTGATCTTATAGATTCCTACATAGATACCCACATGCAAATATGCATCCATAACCCCTTGTTCTCCTGCCCCAATATTCTGTTAGGCTAAGCTGCTTCAGTACTCATCTTCATTTCTGGTTTTGTTTCCTTGCCCGCAGTATCCAACTCCAATTCCAAAAACAATTCCACTGCCCAGCTTTCTGTGTCCAGCAGGTGTCACCCTTCACTGGAAACAAACGGCACCTCTCTTCCACAGATGTGAAATTTGTACCTCAGTAGTGGATGTCCCTCGGGTTTGGGGTAGAAGGAAATGAAAGCGTGGCTCTGAAGAGTGGTGTGCTCACCAGCATGAAGATCCTCAGAATAAAGCAATCTACTTACTTCCAGCTAAGGTAGACAAACATAGAGAATTTGCTCTTTGATCTTAGACACCCTATTTAACCCCTGAATCTTGCTTTCCTCATCTGTGACACAGAAGGAGACAATCTTTTCCTTCTAGGGTTATTGTGAGAAATTAATGAGATAAAAACACAAAGCACTTAGCCCAGGACCTAAATAAGTACTTGAGCTATGGGCCCTTCCCTGCTTAGGGTATGGAAGAAATAACTGCCCAGAACTCCCATCTGGAGTTGAACTCTGCCCCAAGTCCTATCTGAGGATCTGCATCAGGGTTGTGATGAGGACAAAATGAAATAATGCATGTAAAGCACTTGATGCAATGCTTGGGCCAGAAAGGTGAGTAACAGGTAATAACTAACATCACTACCATGGGCTCAGCATGTGCCAGCAATGTTCTTAGCCGTCCGCAAGTATGAAATCATTCAATCCTCCTAAGATCCCTTATGAGGTCAGTCAACTGTCAATTGCCTGCCTCTCCCTTATTCTGTGACTCCATCCAACCACGGTTTAATTTCTTCTTATGAATTATGTATCAGAAAACTGCCCCCATTCTGTTATGTCTAAAGGGAATAATTAGAAGGAGGCACTGACTCCTCCACTCAAATAGGAAAGAATTCACCCAATCCATAACTCTGCTTGTGGTGCCTCCCCAGGGCCTCAGGAAAAGGCACAGAAAAACCTTATTTCCACCAGAGTTTATTCCTCAGACATGATCACCAGTGACTCACTGGCCCCCATGGCACAGTGTGGGCCCCACAAGGGCCTTTAACCTTCCTCCCCAGACTGCATTTGCCCCAGAAACATAGCCTTGGATATTAACTTGGTTACAGAATATTCCCAGGAACAAGTTCCCCCAACTCACTAAGGTTTACATGGGGTGGGCTGGGAAGTTCAAAGATCTGGGTGGAGAAACCATAGGATCCAAGAAAATTTGGAGGGTCTGAGGATGTTGAGGGGACACAGCAGCATCACTAAGAGTTTGAATCTCCTCCTCCCTTGGAGCAGAAGTTGTAGGACCCTGCCTCTAGGAGATGTGTTGACCTGCAGAAGAAATAAAAAGGCCATAATAAGACTTTAAACCAACTTGACCCCATCATCGGTCTCTATAACCATCCATGCCAGAGCCCATAATACAGTGATACTGAAAATTCTAGATCACCAAGGACTAATGCTACAAAGCCACTTTCAGTCGTGTCCCCATAGATGCTCCACTGGATAGAAGACAGGGGTGTAGGCATTCCTCTTTCCTGTTCCCAATCCTAACAATGGCAGTTTAAATTATGCTCTTGGCAACATGCTGGTGGAACTTCAACCCTGTGATAAGCACCATTAGCTGAGCCCAAAAGCTGATCCCAGTGAACTCTCACCCCTCCAAAGGACCAGTAGGCAAACAGACCAATAGAGATGTTACCTTCTGGATAACTGGACCCAGGGAGGAAAATGTAGCCTAGGAGAAGAAAATATTTGATTAGAGGTCAGTCTGTGGATAAAAGTCTCTGGCAATACTCACGGCAAATGGGGTAGCAATGGGAGGACCAGTCACAAACGGAGAGTGAGCAGAAATTGGGAGCAAAACTGGCAACAGGAGATTAGGTGCAGCACTCACCAGAGGAGCTAGCTTTCCGCCAGCTGAGCAAACCAAGAGAGAAAATGATGAGGCCCAGGCCCAGAGTCACTGCAGCCACCGAAACCTTCAGTGTCTGCATCGGGGACAGCCCAGGTGCTGCAAAAAATAGAAACTTACTAGAACCAATCTGTCGCTCATTCCCAGAGCAAACTTAATTTAGTGTGACCTGTACCTAGCAGGTTCAAAGGTGCTTTATCCCAAAGCCAAGGATCTAGCTCACACCAACCTACTCCCAAGGAAACAGACCTTCCTCAAAACCCCCATCCTGTAGCTCTCCACTCCTAGAGTAGCCCTGGGGGACCCCTGTCACCAGAGTTATCACTCTAGCTACTCGGTCCTCTCTAATACAGTGGGACCTCTCAAGGCATCTTTTTTCCTTCCTTCACCCCCACAGGCCCTCTCACCAAAGAATAAAGTATTCCTCAATCCCTTCTCCATTTACCCCATGGTGACAACGTTTACTCCCTTATGTGTTCTACCCGAATATTTGTCTATTAAAATGTCTTTCCACCTTTGTTAACTCTCAATGATCCCATTCCATGAGTTATCCGATACCGATGTGTCTCCTCCTGTCCACATCCAGATTTCCAGAACATGTCTCCATCCCACTCCGTAGCTCCTGCCTCCTGGAACCCATCATACTCTGAATCTCATCACACCCAGTTTCCTTCCCCATGCTAGAATGAACATTCCATCACCAAAGGAAACTCAGGTGCATGTTAGGAAGGAGACTTTCCCAGGAGAACTGAGGTGTGCCTGTGGGTTCTTCTCTCTGCTCCTCATGCCCTTCTCAGCTGCCCAGCAAGACAGCACTCCCCAAAGGGGGAACCCAGTCTCAGCAGCCAGTCTGGGACTCTGTTCCCTGGCCCTTTGTAGATACCCTTCCTCTTCCTCTTCCTCTTCCTCTTCCTCATTTCTTCCTCTTCTCTTTCCCCAAATCTGTATACCAAATCTCTTGGTACCTTTAACTACTTACAATCCTGGGCTTGCAATCCAGTGGCGATTGGTTCCTGTTCATTAGGCCCCAAGCACGTAAACCAAAGTGCCTGCCAGCCATGGCTTTTTCTTCCCTGTCAGAGCAGCCCAAATTCAGTACTGCCCCACACCAACAGAAATTTCTCTTTCTCCTGAAACCTTTTTTATTTCCTCAATTCCCATTCCTGGCCCGACAACAGAACAGTTGAAATTTGAGGATCCTAAAATATTGCATCACGATTTGAGGTCCTGAAAACATAGTTACCAAATCCACATCCTCTTTTGCAGGACAGTCACGCTGTTCCCTCCCACCCTCAGACACATGCACCACAACATCAACCATACCACCATGGCGACAACTACAGTCACTCTTTCCATTCCTGTCTCCCATTGCTCCATCTCTGGTTCCTCCAGACTCGCTTCTCATTCATAGCATCTCCCTTCCCTGCCATATACCATGGACCCATCCACATGTCACTCCCTGTGCCAAAATGCTGCTGTTCCTTTTTCAATCATCCACTCACAATAGCTCTCTGCTTCAACCCTAATTCCTCTCACCCGCCATGCACTTACTCCAGTCCTCGCAGATGGGCTCAAGAGCCCCGATGTGATCCACCACGCAGGTGTAGGTGTCCCCGAAAGAGGGAGTTGTGGCTAAATGAGAGACGGTCTGATACGTCCAGTCTCCATTGGGCTGAGCCATCTTAGGGGCACTTCTGTGAGGGAGGACAGGCTGCCCATTCTTCCTCCATGAGATATTCACATCAGCTGGATAGAAGCCCCACACATAGCAGGCCAGCATCACACGCTCCTTCGTGTTAAAAGGAGTGGTTTTGGCTACCTGCACAGTTGGTGGCCCTGCATAGGAGGAAAATGTGGTCGTGAAAGAAGGCCACAGACTGGCTTCTTCTCCAACCTGGTTTCTTTCCTACTTCAATTCTTCGTGGTTTTGCCAATCTGCCCTCCCCGCCCCCACTCCATGTCACCACATATCCCTTTGAAAATGAGGAGTTAGAATTTACTCCTGCTTTGCTCTTTCTCTTCTCCCATTCCTTCACTGCCCCTTCCTTTCCTTCCTCCTCCAAAATTACATTTGATCACATTGAGTAGAAGCCAGATCTGGACTGCAAGCTGTCTCAGAAGTTGTCGTATTTATTTCAAGCATATAAGCTAACTGTTGTCGAGAGTTGTAAGTTGGGGTTTGTAAAGGTAGGAAAAGATGTCTGCCCTCAAATCTCATTTAACAAATTAAGTGGCTAAATCAAGCAACATTTTTCCTTGGAGAGTTTAAGGAAACAAGCCTAACTCGAATCTAATTCTCTTAAATTTGGATTAGTCTAGTCCAAGTTAATGAGATTACCAATATTGCCATTCTCTACTAGTTTGTTGTCCTAGGCGACTCCCCTGCTTGCCTCTACCTTGGTGCTTTTCAAACAAAATCTTAAATAAATACCCAAGAAACTGTTAAAACTCAGATTCCCTAGGTTGCATCCCCAGATATTTTCACTGAGAGGATGTATAGTGGCACTCAAGGGTTTGTATTTTTAACAAGCACCTTCCCCAGGCAATTCTGAGAAAAGTGGTCCAGAGATCACATGTTAAGACGTATTACTCTCTCCTATGAAGATCTTCATATTTTCTTTTACCAATCTCAAGTCACTCCCAGGGCAAGGGCTTTGGGGCAAGAAAGCATATTGAAATCCCCTGGGAGGCTTTCTAAATATCCCCATGACCAGGCCCATCCCAGACCTAGAACATCAGAACCTAGCATAGAGAGGCATGCGCATTTTGGGAAAAAGCATTCTGGTTGTTCTGACACCCTCCTGGCTGAACTTGGCTCTGCATCTTTGAGATGCTCTGCACTGGAGGAAAGCATGTTGACTTTCTCCTCAATAGCTCCCCATCAGCTCAAACATCACCTCCCCTTCTTTATCTCTGCTCCACTCCCATCAACAACCCTTTGAAGGTCAACACTCACTCTTTCTACATTTCAGGTCCACACATTTTCTGCTTCTTTCCTGCCCAAATCTCAAACCCCTTGCCCACAGCGGGATACTCCCTGGACTCCCCTCTCCTAATTGTGCTTCTTAAAATAGCCCCTTTACACCCCCTCTCTTCTTACGTGTCCTGTGGGTCAGTGATCCCCAGAAGGACTGGGTATGTGTGGCACAGTCCTGGAGCCCATTAGACAAGCGCTGGAGTAGGCTTTCCTGTTGGTTGAGGTAATCTGAGAGGTAATTCGCCAAGATACTCAGTACCCCAAATTCACAAGGGGCCATTTGGGATGTTTGGGGATCCCAGCAGGTCAGCAAATCCTTGTTGAAGGAGACACAATATGTGAAATCCTTTGGAGTCCCATCATCATCCAACAGACAGGTGCTTTCCACATGGGCTAAAAAGGCACCTACAGAAGCCAGAGAAGGGGAGCAGCTTAGAGACCTCTTCAGGGAGCCCCAACTCCAGTTTCATCCTGTGAGTGAGGCGTAGCTTTCCCGCCTCAGGCAGCAGCTACAGACCAAGCTCCTGACTGGAGTGTCTGAGAGCACCAAGTAAGGGAATAGAGGGTAGTAGCAGAGAAGTTTTTAGATGCCATTTCCTCTTTATATGAGACTAAGTACGGAAAGAGGAATTGCCCGAAATTATTTGCAAGGTTAAATGCAACAGTTTACCCAGGACAAGACCTTCAGTAAGGCAAATTATTGAGTGAGAAAAGGGGTCAAGGGAAAGAGTCAGCTTTGTTGTATGCTGGATATTTTATTAAATACCCACTCCATATATATTTATGAAGCATACACACATATTATGTGCCAGACACTGTGCTAGCAGCTGAGAATGCAGCAGGAAACAAGACAGATGTTGCCCTTGCCTACATTCCAGTACGAGATCTATGTTACACAAACAATTATACAGCTAAATTATTTTAAAATTGTCGTAAAGATACAAAAGGACCAAGTGCTATCAGAGTATATACCAGGGAGACAAACTGTAGCCTGGGGTGTCCAAATCCAAATGAACCCCCTTGCAGAGGAAAGGAGCAGAGGAAAGGAAGGTCCCAAGAAAGAATCTCCTTACCTCCTCTGGTGGAGCCCAGGCTGAGGCCTAGCAGCAATGGCAGGAGTGTGTTCATGCTCTGCTCTAGGAACACACTGGGAATTCAGTCCCCTGGACCAGTTCTTCCAGGGGCCCTGGGTCCTCGCCTGCTCCAGAAGCCCCAGCCTGGATAGATGATCTCCAGATCCTGCGTGGAATACAGTATTGCCCCAGTTCCTCGATCCCCACTAAATTCGTGATTTGGAGCCACCCAGCCCCTAGATACTAAACCCGTTCCTACCAGCTCTTCTAAGTCACAGTTTCAAACTAAGAGTGGTCAGATCGGTGAAGTAGGTGGGGACAAACGTAGAGACAAATGGCTCAGTGCTTCAGCCTAGCATCATCAGTTACCAGGTAAATCTTATCCTGCCCTAGGCTTTAAACCACTCCATCTTTTAACTCCTTGCCGGTGGGAAAGACCAGTCTGTAGGTAGATTTCCCCAAATCAGTGGAGAGAATAATCCCAATATTCCCAAAACATATGTAGCCTGGAGTGCCCATTGGTTTAACAGTTTCCTTTCAAAATCCTTCCAAAAGACTGGCACTAGATAACTTCTCATGTCCCTTAGAGGGAGGTTACTTAGAAAGATGTTACAAACCCTCAGTCTGTCCCGTCATTTGGAGATGGAGACGGGATGATGGAAGGCCCTTCTAGAGCAAGCGGCTGCTGTGATGAAGGAGGCACAGGAAGAGTGCAGCGTTATCTGGCATCAAACCAAGACAGTTCCACCTTAGAGGTCAGAGACAGAGCCTGGAAAATCCCTCCCTGGGATTCCATTGCTTCTTTTGTTCTAGCCAGCAAAGCTTCCTCTCATCTTTTCTGCTTTTTGGAGCCAGGAAATCCTCTCCTCCACCACTCTGAGTCATCTCTGGGCAGACTGCAGGACAACTCCCCTTAACCCTTGATAAACAGCTGGTGGTGGACCAGTTCCCAAAGCTCACCTGCCTCCCCCAAATGCAACTTCTCATGTATTTTTCTCCCTCTGGTCCTACCTGTCCCCAAGCAGGTCCCTGCATTATGAAGCCACTAGAAAAATATAATAAAGCTTCTCTCCTCTTCTTCCCCAGGAAAAGACAGATTTTACATTTCAATTCGTGCTCCTATCCCACTGTGAACTATGCAATTGGTGGCTTTTTCCATCACAATTTAAAACCCTAAATTAGCTTCTCTCTGCTCCCCATCAGGCTTCAGGGCTGTGTCTCTTCACCTCTGAGTTTCTGCAAGCTCTTGGACTTGATTTAGTAATGAGCTAAATGAGAGAGGATTAAGAGACAGCCCCTTGACACCACACTTATCTATCGATATTTGCAAAGAAAAAAGAAGCATGTGCCGAAAGTGAAGACAAAGATGAATATTAGAAACAAAAGACTTGTTTCATGTAATGAGTTGAGATTAATTGAAGTTCTGCCCATGTTTCCCAGCCACCCTTACTCTCAACCCCACCCTGATTATAAGATGCTTCTATACTCTACCTCCTCTAATGGGCCATCAGGTGAGCTGGAATGGGCAGAAAATCGGGCAGTGAGTCCAAAATTTGTTGATCTTCTGCTTTGAAACAGATACTATACTAGGTAGGCCCTTTCCATGGTATCTCATATAATCTTAAAAGACCTGTTAAGTGTCCTCATTTTACAGTTTTGAAAACAGATCCAAATATTCACACCCAAGGTCTAGAGGTACACACACACACACACACACACGCGCGCGCGCGCGCATATATCATATACACACACATGTCTGCACCCTCACTACATCCTGGGGCTGAGATGACCCACAGAAAGGTAGCTAGTGGCAGCCTCTGTTGAAAAAAAGATAAAGGGAAGAACAAATCCATCCATCCAAGTCTTAGCTTCCCTGTTCTCAGAATTCCTTCTGTTCTTAGAACCTGTGTCTCCTTGCTTTCTTTTTTTTTAATTTTTTTAATGTTTATTTATTTTTGAGACAGAGACAGAGCATGAGTGGGGGAGGGGCAAAGAACGAAGGAGAGACAGAATCTGAATGAGCCTCCAGGCTCTGAGCTGTCAGCACAGAGCCCAACAAGGGGCTTGAACTCACGGACCATGAAATCAGGACCTGAGCCAAAGTCGGACACTTAAAGGACTAAGCCACACAGGTGCCCCTCTTTGCTTTCTCTTTTGACAGTTTCAAAACTGTAAACTCTCCGCCACACACACACACACACACACACACACACACAGGAAGTGAGCCTAACCTTGTAGGCACCAGGGCTTGGGATCCTCTTCAGTGTCTACCCAAAACCTGCCTGGGCACAGGAACGGTGGCGGTGTGGTCACGTGCCTGTGCAGGGGTGGTGGCCGCCAGCGTGCTGAGCCCCCCCGCCCCACGGAGTTCCCTCTCGTGTCTGGGTCTGTACTCTGGCAGCCAAAGGAGATGTGAAACCCCCCGTGAGGCAGCAGCAGGAAATGCAGAAGATTTCACTTCTCTATTAATGAGAAGACTGAAGGTGCTTTTTAGACTAAAGCAGGACAGAAAACCCAGAGACCTGTGCTCAGCGAAGAGGCTTCTTCGTTCCCCTCCCCTCCTAATTTTACATAGACAGAGCTGTGTCCCCCACCTCCCATCAACCCAAAAGAACATTTCAAGTGCCCTGTCCACTGTGATTGTATAACTATTTCTGTAGCACCAGGACTGAAGGAGTGAGGGAGCCACAGCCACATACCCACATGCTGTCCTTTTTTTTACTGCCGCTGCCCAAGACCGGAGCACAAGTCCTCTCCTTCCACACTGCCTCTCCCTCTAGGCTGGCCACCATACACCACAAGTAGACTGACCACAGCGTTTCCGTGCAGACTATTACAGGCAATGCCCAGCTAGAAGATAAGGATTCAGCCCCCATGTCATTTGATTTTAGGTCAGTTGGGGAGTGAGAACAAACATCTGTAAAGAGAAGAATTTATGTTAAATCAAGTAAGCAATAAGGCCATTGTACTTCAAAGAGAAAAGAGAAATCATTGAGGGCATGGTGGACAGGGAGTCCTCCCCATCTGAGAACCCCTGGAGGTGAGCACTGAATACTGGGCTGGAGTCATGTTCAGAAGAGCAAGGCAGTTGGCACCACAGTCCTGGCATATAACTCCACAAGCTTGGTAATGTTATGAGGTGCTGTCGGGGGTCTATCTGGAGCCCGACCTGGCTAAAACAAAAACAGACCACAATAACATCACTGGCATCACACACTGAAGGAAGTCACAAATGTGGTCTCACGCTGTTCCTAAGAGTATGACCATAATAATAAATCACATCTTGGTACTTCCTTATGTTGCTCCCTGTAAGCTCTCAGGTTCCTCTTCTGGACAGATGTTTTAACTCAAGCCTCAATTTTATAAACTCAAAAATTGCACAACCCACCAATCATTTGCAATAGAAAACCAATAGCATGAGACCACATTTGTGACGTCTTTCAACGTCTTCTCAAAACTACACACACCTGCACCCTGCCAGGATTGCTAATATTACTTCCCAGTCTGTCCAACCTCGCCTCTACCCAGCCCCACCTCACCTCTGCCCTCCTGCTCCGTCTTCTACCTTAAATTCACTGCTCCAGACCCGAACCTTGGGGTTACTGTTGCTGTACCTAGCCCATCATCTTTTCATCCTGCAGCCAAATTACTTGAACAGCTAGGAGATATTCTACATCATTTGTCACCACAGCTCCTGAAAAATGTTACTATCTCCATCTTAACAATGAGAATATGGAGGCAGAGGGAGGCTGGTGACTGTCCAGATTTACCCAAAACCATGACTTGAACGGAGGATTTATGATTCTAAATCCTATACTCCTCCTAATCAGTTAGAAAATAATTGAACATTGCTAACCGTTTATAATAGCGATAAAAACTGTAATGTGTAACAGTTACCATTAAAAAGTATAAGAACTTTATGGATAAAAGGGAAAACTTTATTAAAATCCATATGAACACCTCAGAAAATGAAAAGACATATTCACAGATGGGGCATCCTAATTTAATGAAGAAGCCAATTTCTCCCCATATCACTAACCTAAATGCTGTCCTAACCAACTCATAGCAGGATTTGGGGAGAATTTGATAAAGTGATTCTTTTTTTTTTTTTTAATTTTTTTTCAATGTTTTTATTTATTTATGGGACAGAGAGAGACAGAGCATGAACGGGGGAGGGGCAGAGAGAGAGGGAGACACAGAATCGGAAACAGGCTCCAGGCTCCGAGCCATCAGCCCAGAGCCTGACGCGGGGCTCGAACTCACGGACCGTGAGATCGTGACCTGAGCTGAAGTCGGACGCTTAACCGACTGCGCCACCCAGGCGCCCCTAAAGTGATTCTAAAAGTACACGGAAATCAAACCCATGAGCATCTTAGACAATTTTAGTAAAGAAGAGCAAAATGGGGTTTTTAGAGAGGTGAAGTTATAAAGAAATGGAAAACAGCCCTGCAAAATATTAAGACATATGAAAAGCCATAATAATTAAAACAATATAATACTGACATAGGAACTGAAAAACCAGTGGACCAAATAATTCAGAGACAAATCCATGAACATAGGGAAACTTGGAATAAAATCCCCGGGAATAAATAGAATGTTTAGTAAATGATATTAAGAAGATCAATTTACTCTTTGGAGGAAAAGAAAGTTGTATCTTTATTCACATCATATAGAAAAATTCCAGATCAGTAAAGATATAAATGTTAAAGGAAAACAATAACACTAATAGAAGAAAGCATAGTGAAATTCATACATGGCCAGATAAATATAAGGCAAGTTTTTCTACCCAAAATTACTCATCAGGTAAAAGGGAATTACTTTATACACAAGTCCTTAGGTTCTTTTGTTTTCAAATTATGGCCACTCTTTCAAAGCTGTTTGGAGAAGATACATTATCCCAAAATGATGTCAATAAATACAAGGGCCTCCATACTGTTTTCAATAGTGGCTACACCAATTTACTGTCCTGCCAGCAGTGCACCACCAGTGTGGAGGTTGCTCAAAAAGTTAAAAATAGAACTACCATCTGATCCACCAACTCCACTTTTGAGTATTTATCCAAAGAAAATGAAAACACTAACTCAAAAAGATATATGCACCCCATGTTGATTCAGCATTGTTTACAATAGCCAAGGCATGGAAACAACCCAAGTGTCCATTAATGGCTGGATGGGTAAAGAAATTGTGGTTGGGGTGTGTGTGTGTGTGTGTGTGTGTGTGTGTGTGTGTGTACAATGAAATGTTAATATTATTCAGCTATTAAAAAAAAAAAGGAAACCTTTCCATTTGTGGCAACATGAATAGATCCCAAGGGCATTATGCAAAGTGAAATAAGTCAGACAGAGAAAGAAAGATAACATATAATCTCTCTTATATGTGGAATCTAAAAAAGTAAAACATAAAAATAAAAAAAAGTATTCATAGATACAGAGAACAGATTGGTGGTTGAGAGATTGGAGGAAGAAATTAATGAAATGTTTTTGATGTCTATTTTAGTTTAAATAGATCATTTTTTAAAATAAACAAAAGAATTTGGAAGTCATTCACATAATCAAAAAATACATTAAAAATAAATTTAAAATTGTTTCATAAAATGTTAATGATGGCTGCAGCAACTTTCTACTCAACACATCTCTGGAGGTAAGGGAAACAAAAGCAAAAATGAACTATTGGGACCTCATCAAAATAAAAAGCTTCTGCACAGTGAAGGAAACAATCAGCAAAACTAAAAGGCAACCGACAGAATGGGAGAAGATATTTGCAAATGACACATTAGATAAAGGGTTAGTATCCAAAATGTATAAAGAACTTATCAAACTCAACACCCAAAAAACAAATAATCCAGTGAAGAAATGTGCAAAAAACATGAATAAACACTTCTCCAAAGAAGACATCCAGGTGGCCAACCGACACATGAAAAAATGCTCAACATCACTCATCATCAAGGAAATACAAATCAAAACCACATTGAGATACCACCTCACACCTGTCAGAAACATTAACAACTCAGGCAACAACAGATGTTGGCGAGGATGCAGAAAGAGAGGATCACTTTTGCACTGCTGGTGGGAATGCAAACTGGTGCAGCCACTCTGGAAAACAGTACAGAGGTCCCTAAAAAATTAAAAATAGAACTACCCTATGACCCAGCAATTGCACTACTAGGTATTTATCCAAAGGATACAGGTATGCTGTTTCGAAGGGGCACATGCACCCCAAAGTTTACAGCAGCACTATCAACAATAGCCAAAGTATGGAAAGAGCCCAAATGTCCATCGATGGATGAATGGATAAAGATGATGTGGTATGTATATACAACGGAGTATTACTCGGCAATCAAAAAGAATGAAATCTTGCCATTTGCAACTACGTGGATGGACCTAGAGAGTATTATGCTAAGTGAAACTAGTCAGTCAGAGAGGCGCCTGGGCATCCGACTTCGGCTCAGGTCATGATCTCGCGGTCCATGATTTCGAGCCCGACTGTGCTGACCGCTCAGAGCCTGGAGTCTGTTCCGGATTCTGTGTCTCCCTCTCTCTCTGACCTTCTCCCATGCATGCTCTGTCTCTCTCTGTCTCAAAAATAAAAAAATAAAGAAATGTTAAAAAAATAATTAAAAAAAAAAAGAAATTAGTCAGAGAAAGACAAATATCATAGGACTTCATTCATATGAGGACTTTAAGAGACAAAACAGATGAACATAAGGGAAGGGAAGCAAAAATAATATAAAAACAGGGAGGGGGACAAAACAGAAGAGACTCTTAAATGTGGAAAACAAACAGAGGGTTACTGGAGGGGTTGTGGGAGGGGGGATGGGCTAAATGGGTAAGGGGCATTAAGGAATCTACTCCTGAAGTCATCGTTGCACTATGTGCTAACCAACTTGGACGTAAATTTAAATAAATAAATAAATACATAAATAAATAAATAAATAAATAAATGTGAATGGAAACAGTAATATCCCTACATTAATATATCATGCTATAAAACATGTTATTTTAATTTTGTGAGTTAGTAACTAAATAAAGGTAGCTAGCAGACATTTGACTATGTCCCTATAACTTTTATATCCCTCAAACTTTATATATTGAAATTGGTCAAAAAACTTCTAAAATATTCCAATCAAGAAAACTGAGTATCATTTTATCACTTTATATTCCAGTGAAAATTGTAACTTTACTGCCTTGGGGTTGGAAAGAATTTCTTAAGATCACAAAACACAAACCATGAGGGTTCTGACTCAAAATTAAATAATTCTATTGAAGGAAAGAATATATACGAATTTAACTGAAGAGCAGCAAACTAGAAGAAGGCATTGCAATATTTATACTGACGTAAAATTATTACATAGACTATATAAGAAATCCCCACAAATTCACAAGAAGACAATGCAATTTTAAAAATAGACAAAAGAGGGGCGCCTGGGTGGCGCAGTCGGTTAAGCGTCCGACTTCAGCCAGGTCACGATCTCGCGGTCCGTGAGTTCGAGCCCCGCGTCAGGCTCTGGGCTGATGGCTCGGAGCCTGGAGCCTGTTTCCGATTCTGTGTCTCCCTCTCTCTCTGCCCCTCCCCCGTTCATGCTCTGTCTCTCTCTGTCCCAAAAATAAATAAACATTGAAAAAAAATTTTTTTTAAATAGACAAAAGATATGAATCAGCAATTCACAGAGAGAAACCTATGAAAAGATGACCAACTTCAGTAGTAACACGAGAAAGGCAAATTAAAAGGAATACCACTTTACATCCACCCTATCGCCAACATTTGAAAGTCTCGTAATTTCAAGTGTTAGTGATGATAAAGGAAAATGAGAACCACCTTGCTACATTGATGGAAGGATAAACTGTTTATAATCCCTGAATTATATAAATTACAAACTAGTTGAGTGAAAAAAATTAACGTATGAAACGAGGCAGCGTATCCTTGAGAGCAAAGTCTGTGGTGAAGTGTGTTAAGTTTTAGAGAAGCTCAGTGAAGATCAGTTAAGGGTGGAGGAGGGTTGCCAGGCTGGCACAGTGGGAAGAGCATGTGACTGAGACGGAAGCTTGATCCCGGGGTCTTGAGTTCAAGACTCACGCTGGGTGTGGAGATTAGTAAATAAACTTTGAAACAAAACAAAACAAAAAGCCTGCAGGATTAGGGATAGGTTCACAGAAGGAGTGAACATGGATTGGATCCATAGCATTGGTTAAAATGGGAACAAGGAAGCAGAATGAAGAAGGTATTCCGGTGAGAGGAAAAGCCTGGACAAGTGCCCTAAGGTGACATGATACTGTCAAGAAAGAGCCATGAAACTGGACAGGATTACTGCTGGGAAGGGGACACCTGAGAGGCTCTTCAATGCTTCTCGAGGATTGCAAGTGACAGTATCATAAAATGTTTGATCAGACAGCATCTAACACGAGCCCATCACTTCACAGATGAGGAATTTGAGGTCCAGAGAGGGGAGGTGACTTGTCTAAGGTCACACAGCATAATGAAAGCAGTTTGAAGACTTGACTGGCAAGAAACTTCTGGATAGTTGGAAAGTAGAAACCAGGAAGAACTGCAAAGTAATAAGAGACAGATGTAGAATGGTGCAGAGAAAAGAAAAAGAAAAAGGGAAATATCTCAAAGGGAGAAAATACAATACTTGGCTGTCAGTTCCAGAAAAAAGAAAGAAGTCAATGATGCTGCAGAGTTCCCCTGTGGAAATCCTTGCTCAATTATTGAGTAACTTTTCCACGTGCTAAACACTGCATTCTACAGATATTAACTTCACAACACAGTTAAGGTGGACACCATTGTTTTCATTACCCTTTTACAGAAAATAATATCAGGGCACAGAAAGGTTAAGGAATCTACCCAAGGGCCCACAGCTAAAATTTTGACAATCGCAAATGAATCCCCAGCAGTCTGATTCCTGAGAGCATACTCTTGAGCAGAAAGCATGCTGCTGTTAGAAATGAGATGGTTTAGGGGCGCCTTGGTGGCTCAGTCAGTTAAGCGGCCGACTTCGGCTCAGGTCATGATCTCGCGGTCCATGAGTTTGAGCCCCGCGTTGGGCTCTGTGCTGACAGCTCAGAGCCTGGAGCCTGTTTCAGATTCTGTGTCTCCCTCTCTCTGACCCTCCCCCGTTCATGCTCTGTCTCTCTCTGACCCTCCCCCATTCATGCTCTGTCTCTCTCTGTCTCAAAAATAAATAAACGTTAAAAAAACAAAAAACAAAAAAAGAAATGAGATGGTTTAGGGGCACCTGGGTGGCTCAGTTGGTTGAGCATCTGACTCCGGCTCAGGTCACAATCTCATGGTTCATGGGTTTGAGCCCCACGTAGGTCTCTGTGCTGGGAGCTTGCAGCCTGCTTAAGATTCTGTGTCTCCCTCTCTCTCTCTCTGCCTCTCCTCTGCTCACTCTGTTTCTCTCTCTCTCTCTCTCAAAAATAAAATAAACATTTTTTTAAAATTTTTAAAGAAATGAGATGGCTTAGGGACGCCTGGGTGGCTCAGTCAGTTAAGCGTCCAACTCTTGATTTCAGCTCAGGTCATGATCTCACGGTTTGTGATTTCGAGCCCCTTGTCAAGCTCTGCGCTGACAGCACTGAGCCTGCTTGAGATTCTCTCTCTCTCCCTCTCTCCCTGCCCCTCCCCTGCTCATACACACACTCTCTCAAAATAAATAAATAAACGTTTTTTAAAAAGGAAAAAAGAAAAGAAAGAAACGAGTTGATTTAGAGGAGGTGCCAACTCCTGGGAATTGGATATTTTCCCCTAGATTAGATGCTGGTACAATGTGAAGAAGAGACTCTCTCACCCATACCAAAGTAATTTCACTCTTGACTTTCATGCCACCCCTCCTCCAAAGCAACTCCCAGACTCTAAGGAAAGCAAGATGCAAAGTCTTACGACAGTAAGAAAGCATATGCAAAGGAATTTACCACCAGTAGTCACGTGTCCCTCGCCCCCACTACCTGCTCAGGGCAGCACTACCACAGTTCTCCTCGGATGATCCACTCAGGCCAAAGAACAATCGTTGGAGGGACACATGAGTTGCGGGCCCTTCCAAGCTAGCTGTTCATACTTCACTTCAGGAGCCTGAATATACTGTTTTCACAGAACTGACACGACTAAGTTAGAATAGCATTTAAAAGCTGATTTTTCCCACTCCTGAGCTCCTGTTTTCCCAGCTATGGTGGAGGTTGAAGGGAGTTACATATTTCTCAAGACAGCCAATACTAGCCATAAGCATTTTCATAAACAGTAAAATGAAAAAGAAAAAAAATCCGCAGTCAGCTTTCTCCACTATTTTGTGAGCAGATTATCAGAAAGTAGCTCTGCCTTCATTTGTCACACATTTCGCACAAACTGATAGAAGTAAAAGCCATCGTACGGTGCTGAGACCGGGGAACAGGAGTTGGCTGAGGAGTTAGGGGTTTTCCCATGCCCCTCCCTAACGAGGGCAAGCTGTGTTTACATTAAGGCATGTTGAATTTGAAATGACAACCCACTCAGTATTAAGAAATAAGATTTATTGCCCTGAAGTGGGAAGGAATGTGGCCGTGACAGGAAAGCCACTCTGGGTTCCCCTGGGTGCAAGTCCCAGGACAGCAGAGCTTCCAGCTGAGAAACCTGTACATGCCCACATGTCCCTCAGGGGCATCCCAGGGACTTCTGCTCTGAGGAGGAGAGATCCTGGGCAGGATGTGGGAAGCCTGAGCTTCCCCCGCATGCATGGTTGACACTGTTGGCACCACCAGACTCTGGTCAGGAAGAATCAATCTGAGGAGAGAGAAGGATGGAGGAAAGCCATCAGGGGACCCCCCCCCCTTTCCCAAAAGCCCCTCCCTGCCTGCCACATATCCCACAGAAGTTGATCTCCCTTTGGCCCCAAGTCATCTCCAAGCACCCCTCCTACAACTCCCCATATCACCCCTCTCCCACCCAGTCATGCCTGTGACTTGTAACTGTGTGTGTGTGTGTGTGTGCGTGTAACTGGGACCCATGACCGTGGTGCCGGATACAGGCCTCTCCACCCAACCACAAGATGACTCTGGCATGTCCCCACAAGAGCACTGTATGCGGCTCCCATGGCTCTCCCACCCACTCCAGATGCCCTGACGTACCACCTGAGCAAGGCTTTCGGAAGTAGATGATGAGGACTAAGCCAACAATGATGCCCAGCACACCCAGGCCAAAGGCCACACCACACAGCACATTCTCCAGAAGATCAGAGGGCAGCACATTATGGGGCACTAGGGGAAAAGGGGAGTGTGTCAGCCTGGAGACTTGATTGGTGAGGCCCCCACCCAGGGGAATTACTTGGGCGTCTGGGGTGAAAAAGGAGGAACCGAGGCATGAAAAGATGAGGTTGCTCAGAGTGAGAATGGATTTAAACAAGATCCAAGTGGAGAAAGAAGGCCCTCCCACGGGTCCATCATTTTTTGCCCCCAAAAGGAACCAGGCTGCCAGGAAGAAGTTTCTCACCCCAAAAGGCAATTGTGTTGTAGCTGTCAATCTCATGAGTTACCATGCAGGAGTAAAGGTCAGAGGGTACTGGTGTGAAGTTTAAGTAAGAAAAGGCCTGGAAGCTGAGTCCCTCCACAGCTGACACAAAAGTGGGCCTGACTCCTTCCACAGGGTCCAAATGATGCTGCCAGTTCACCGTCAACGTGGGTGGGAAGAGATTACTGACAAAACAGACCAGCGTGTTGGGCTTTCCGAACTCCAGGGGCTTCAGCGTGAACACCTCAACAACAGGTAACCCTGGTGGGAGGATTGAGGTGTGAGGGAAGGAAGTAACTAGTTTAGATGGTACCCCTGAGTTTGGAAGGGAAGTGGCATACAGAGGGGAGGGCAGAGACAGAGTAGGGGACGGGCTTTGGGGGAAAAGGTGAGGGAGGAGATGGGGCTCTGAAGGAGGTCTTCTTCCAGGTAAGACCCAGACCTGAACTTAGAGGCAGAGCCAGACCCAGGCCACCCTGGGACCCTCCACCCTGATTTCCTGCGGCACTTCCTGTCTAGACCTCACACAGGCCTCTAATCACATGCTGTCTTCTTGTTGAAACACAGGCACATCATCAGATACTTTCTTTCTTCCCTTCCATCCTACTGAGCATAGCAATACAAGCTCTAATATTCAGCATCAATTGGTCCCTCTTGCATTCATCAAGTTCAATAGTTTTGACCCCCTACTATGTCCTAGGCACATGCCTTTGCCCCAAAACAAAAACAGAGTACAGACTATAGTTGGTAAGGGGAGATCCAGAAGGCATTGGATAGGCAAACTGGTGTGAAAGGGAATAATTCACTGTACATGTTGAGGAGGTTAAGAATGCAGCCCCTACCCCCACCCCCAGAGACACCCCTGACCTCTAGACACAGGGATTTTCCCTTCAAATTTTGGCCCTATTTCCTGGATCATAGCCTGGCAGAATGCTTTGTCAAAGAAAATGGCAGAAGTATCTCCAAGCTTCTGAGCCCAGTCAGCAAATTCAGGCAGGCGAGGCACTCGGGTATTCTGGGAAAAGTCGAAGGAGAAAAGCTGGTCTCCATCATAGGTTTCAGAGAGTCCAATGTTGGGACTCCAGTCCTGGCAGTACATCGTATGCAGGAACGTGTGGTTTTGCAGTTCATCCTGCCACACTGGGGTAGGAGCTGCAAAGGAGACAGAGAAAGTCAGGGAGGTGAGAGTCTCCTCCTCCTCTTTAGCTTAGAAAACAGCAAGGCAAGCCTTAGGTGGAGGAGGTAGGGTTGGGGTATAACCCCGTCTTGTGTCTCTTATTAAGGCTCTCCCTCCCAATGGGGGTAAAGAAGAAATTACAGGACCTCTCCAAAACTTCCCTTGCCCATAAAAACGACAACTGTCTAAAGTTGTAAAAAATAAAATAGGTGTATTTTCTAAAGTGGGGCGCCTGGGTGGCGCAGTCGGTTAAGCGTCCGACTTCAGCCAGGTCACGATCTCGCAGTCCGTGAGTTCGAGCCCCGCGTCAGGCTCTGGGCTGATGGCTCAGAGCCTGGAGCCTGTTTCCGATTCTGTGTCTCCCTCTCTCTCTGCCCCTCCCCCCTTCATGCTCTGTCTCTCTCTGTCCCAAAAATAAATAAACATTGAAAAAAAATAATTTTAAAGTGACAGATTCATTTGGGGCACCTGGGGGCTCAGTTGGTTAAGCCTCCAACTTCAGCTCAGGTCGTGATCTTATGGTTTGTGGGTTTGAGCCCCACGTCGGGCTCTGTGCTGACCGCTCAGAGCCTGCTTCCAATGCTGTGTCTCCCTCTCTCTCTGCCCTCCCCCACTCACACTATTAAAAATAAATAAGCATTTTTAAAAATTTTTTTAATTAAATGACAGATTCAGAGTCACAGTGTTAGTTGTGTGTTTGTGTACTGCACAGAGGCATCTGGCCAAGGAAGTAACTGGAAGCTGAAATCTAGCCTGCACTCTGGTCACCAAGCCATGCATCCTGGCACAGGCATGCATCCTCTCAAAAAAGATGCCTTCGTCTAATTCACAGAAAGCCACCAATATTTACTTGTAAAGGGCCTGGATGGGTTCTCTAGTCTTCGAGGGGAGGGTAAAGGAATGGTCATGGCCTCCCCAAGCCACAGATGACACTGCCCCATCCTACCCCCAGACAACATGGTAAACCGAAAAACCAATCTCCAGACTTCTCTTCAGCCACTTCATCAGCACAAAACCTCTCCGAAAACGTCCTCACCCCTCCCTCAACCATCCAGCCCCTGCAGTGTGACAGAACTGGAGGACTGGAGAGATGCAAAAAATAATCCCTGTTCTTGGAGGCCCCCGGCTAGAATTCCTAGACACACACACACACACACACACACACACACACACACACTAGCAGGAAACTTTCTACCCAGTACCTAATACCTAGAATAAAAGACATTTAGAGTAAGAGGGATCTTCCAGATTATTCTTCCATTCTGTCCCATCCTTTACAGAGAAGGAAACTAAGGATGAATAAAGTTAAGAAAATTTCAATAATCACAGTGTGAGTTGATGACAGAATGCAGAGTAGATGCCTAAATAGAACAGTGAGTAATCAAATCCCAGCTCTGCCACTTTCCAAGTGTGTGAATTTGAACAAGTTACTTAAACTCTCTGAGTCTCATTTTTTTTCACCTGTAAAATGGATATTGTAATCTCTGCTTCAAGACATTGTCTTAAGTGGAAATATATAAAGCACCTGACATTGTTTGCCATCCATCCATCCACAGTTGATCTCTTTCCCAACTCTGTGATCATTTCCATTACTCCATAATACTTCCCACCACTTACAAAGCACAGGGCTTCAAATGCAAAGAAGACTTCAAATGCTCTGGGTGGCTCCCTAGGCTCTAACCCGTCAGGACTGAAGTAAATGAGAGGTACTGTCATACCTTCAGGGGCGGTCCAGGAGTGGGGCAGCAGCCACAGGAGGTGTAAAAACCTAAGCAGTGCAGCTCCCTGCCTCTGCTCATGATCCATATCTTCACACCACACAGTGTGCTACGAGCTACCAACCAGATGACCCAGGTCCCAGACTCCTTCCCCAGATCATGTTCCGCCAGCTACTTCCACAGTTGCCCTTGTCATTTGGCCAAACCAATCACAGAAGCGTAGGGTTTAACATCATCAGTTGCTGGGGAGAGACGTGGTTCCAGCAACCTCCTGAAGACTTGGTGTTTTCACCAGGGGAGAGTGGAGTGTGTAACTGGACTGAGGACAATGGAGGAATGTCTGCCTCCTGCTGGGGATCCCTCTTTAGCATCAAGCTATCAGCCAAGAAACCTAAGCAATGGGCTCTTCAGAGCAGCACCACCTCCTGGCAGAATGCTGTGGTAGAGAAGCTCCTCTTCTCTCAAGCAAACCCCCAGGGCTCTTCAGACCCCACCTCCTCCTCCCTCCAGCCTTCCCTCCTTTTTCTCAGAGAGGTATTCTTCGGGCATTAGCTCTAATTCATTCTGTCAGTTGAGCATTTGGCTCTTGATTTCAGCTCGGGTCACAAGCTCATGGTGGTGAGATCTAGTCCCCTGTAGCGCTCAGCACTGAGCATGGAGCCTGCTTGGGATTCTCATTCTCCCTGTCTCTCTGCCCCTCCCTCACCAGTGTCTCTCCACCCCCCCCCCCCACACACACACACACAAATAAATAAACATTTTTTAAAAAGAGAAATACATGAAAAATTTAATAAATGCTGCTATTAGGCCCAGTGCTAAAAATACAAAGATAAATAAAGGGTATTTCTGCCTTCAAAGAGCTTAAAGTCTAGTGGTGGGATCAAGAATGGGCCAAGTGTTTTGAAAGTAGTAACTTTTTGAGGATGGAGGAATACATGGAACATAATCAAGACCTTCTAAGAATCTTAAAGGAAAGACAATTTGACCAGCAGAACATGAGGGAAGAGAAAAGCATTCCAGGGCAAGGGGTAGGCAAGTCTGTGGAGGTCAAAGGCATTCAGAGCTCCTTCCTTTGGTTGGATGTGAGTGTTGTAGAGGCTAGTCATTGTGTCCCTGTTTGGTAGTGGGGTGTGGGGGAGTGTCAAGATGAGCTAGAAATTCAAGCAAGGGTCAGATCACACAAGCCATGTGAGACCACAAAGAGGGTCTGGCTTTCAGAGATATTAAAACTGAGAAGTGACACAATTATTTTAACTTTTAGAAAAATTGGTCCGACATTTCAAAAGATGGACTGGAGCTTGGGAAAAAATTGAGGCAAAACTGCTGGTCAGAGTCTATGTAGTATAGTAAATCAAAATAAAAAGTTGCACACCCACACACCCACACACCACCTTTTTTTTTTAGCAATATAACAATAATTTAAGTGAGAAATGATAAGAGCCTGAATTAAATCATGAACAAAGGAGACAGAGGGAATAGAATATTGGACAATTAGGAGGTAGAATCTAAAGGGCTTGGCTACTGATTAGCCAAATGGAAGGATCAAGGATAACACTAACAGTTTCTAGATTGGGTGTCTGGGTGGGTGTAGTGATGGCCTACAGTGAAACAGAAAAGAATGCCTTAGAAGCAGATTTGATAAAGAAGAGAATGACTTCAGAAATGCTGGATGGCTCAGTTGGTTAAGTGTCTGACTCTTGACTTCAGCTTAGGTCACTATCTCATGGTTGGTGGGATCGAGTGACAGCTCCACAGTGACAGCATGGAAGCCTGCTTAGGATTCTCTCTCTCCCTCTCTCTCTGACCCTCCCCTGCAGGCTGGCATACACACACGCACACACACACACTCTCTCTCTCAAAATAAATAAACATTTAAAAATATTTTTAAAAAAGAAAAGATTGAGTTCAGTGTTGTACATGTTGAATCTGAGGTGCCAGTGGTAGAGCCACACAGGAGGCGTGAGGTATATCAGTATGGATCTCAGGTATGGGCTAAAAAACCTCGATTTTGGAGTCATCAGCACAAATGTTGAAGCAGAAGCAGTGGATAAGATCATGCAAGTAGGCTGTGCAGACGGAGCGGGAAGTGACACAAGGACATAAGTCTGCATAGGTTCCAACCCCACCCTCTTACAAGTTATCATCCAGGATCTAGTCAGGAACATGGCACCACTCTAGGTATTTCATACTGATGGAGTTTAATACAGAGAATTGGTCCCAAAGATGTTAAAAGGGCAAGAAGTGCAAAAGAAAAAAGCGTGTGTCTGGAGCCCCAAATAGAAAAGAGGAATACCTAGAAATCAGAAGATACTATTGCCCCTCACATGGAATCCATGTCTACATCTGCTGTTGCCCCGGCACAGACACCATTACAGTTGGTTCTAGATCTGCTGAAAAGGTTCCATTTTTGTCAAGGCCAGATCATTGAAAAGGTACTTTCTCTACCTCTAAGGCTGGAGTCCAGAATCACCCATTTTTGCTGCTGCCATATCTACCAGCAACTGCCACTCTGTTAGTAACTAAAGCAGGAAGCTTCTCGGTTTCTCTTGCCTTCTTATCTCCCACCAGTACCTCCTATTTGAGAGACTCTAACAGGAAGCCAACTGGCTAGGACATGCCTTGGGAATTATGTACCTTACAGATGCCTAGGCTGAAAAGTCCAGAACACAGTATAGGAGGGCATGGCACTGACACCAGAAAATAACCAGTACGCTGAAATGGATTCCTTTGTAGGAATCTAGTGACACCAGCAGCGTCCAGATAGCTACGAAAGCAAAAAGGAGAGCAAGGAAGAAACAGATCCAGAAAAGCAGAGGTGTTCCATGAAGAAGGACAAGGTCAGCATGATAAAATGCTACCCAGAAGTCAAGGAAGGACTGAAGTGTCCTTAGATTTGGTAATTATGAAACAGTTGACAAATGCATTGAGAGCAGTTTCAGTGTTGCAGTGGGAGTTGACTCCAGATTGTGGTGGGCTAAGAAGCAAGTGGGAGGTGAGGAAGAAACTGTCACTGTATATGCTGGAAGTCTAATAGAGAAGAAAAGGAGAGAAAGACAGAAGGGGTGGGGGAAGAGGCAGCGAGAAAGATTTAATGTGGCAATTAAGTAATCTTAGAAATTAATCTATGCGGGTATGGTCTATCAGTATTTTTCAGACTTTCAAAATCCATACTCCCTTTTGAAAAATAAATAACTGGAGCAATAATAGCCAAAATCAAGAACAACCCTATTATGACCTCCTGGATATCCTGAAACACTAATACATATATTGTACGTGAGCACACTTGTGAATGTGTGTGGTGGGGGAGGGTGGAGTGCCAGACTTGGGATAGGGTTTGGAAATCATTGTGTTACACTCCAAAAACCAGGGCATTTTCCCAGTGTCCCACTCTTTACGGGCTAACACATCAGCAGTTCCTGTGGTGGGAGAGTCGGGCCCTTGGGGAAGCAGAAAGGAAGTTTGTAACATCACCAGGACTATAGGGGGAGACATGTTAGCACACAGCCACGTAGAGTCTAAGCCAGGGGTCTGCAAACTTTTTCCAAAAAGGACCAGAAAGTAAATATTTTAGGCTTTGTGGGCAACTCAGCTCCGTCTCGTGTGCTCAGCTGCAGCACGAAAACAGCCACCGGCAACATGTAAATGAAACAGCATGGCTATGCTCCCTGTTTCCTCCCAGCTTTTCCTCTCACTTCCTGGGCATCTCCTTCTCAGTCTCCTTCGTGGACCACTTTGTTCCAGTCACTTTTTGAACACTGGTGTTCCCTGGAGTTTTGTTCTTAACTTTCTTTTTGCCTACAGACACGGAAATTTTAATTTCATATAATTTTCATGACATGATTCTTCTTTTGCTTTTTCTCCCCCAACCATTTAAAAATGTAATAATTGTTCTTAGATCTTGGGCCATGTAAAATATGGCAGGCTGGCTTCTGCTTCCATACCACAGTATTCTGAGCACTGCTCTATGTGTGTGGTCAGAATTGTGGTGGGGAGCCTCAAAATAAACCAAAAAAGAGCTCCATTCCCCCTTGGGGATGGCAATTGGTTAATGAATACATTGTGGCCCAGATACAACAGATTGGTTGGGAGGAGATTTGAGGGGAAACAGGAGGAAGAAGACTGGGTGGGAGGGCTAGGAACAGGTACAGCAGACATTGCAACTACTCTGGGTGGGAGGAAAGAAGCAACAGGGTCCAAGTTCTCCGCAGACTACAGTGTGGACAAGATCAGGATGAGCAGAAATATAACCACCCATCATCAAGACTCTGGCGAGATGCGGTTAACTCCTTTCTCTCCCAGTATAAATAGTACCAAGTTCAAATAGTTATAACTACCCTTCCCTCTATGCAATCCTTCTTCCTGTCAGGACTCTCCAACAAGTTCCATAACAGATATTTCAAAGAGAGTCTCTAATTAGTCTGGGAAGGGGTGCCTGTGTGGCTCAGTCCGTTAAGCGTCTGACTCTTGATCTCATCCCAGGTCTTAATGTAATTAGTCTGGGAAGTGGTAATTAAGGGTAAGAGGAGCAAGGTAGCCAATTCTGTATTCCAGTAACTCACTGTCTCTTTTGGTCATCAGATAGGAATGTCCCTGAAGACAATGGCACCTGTAAATCCCGCAGGCCATGGCTTTCTAACAGCTCTCCCATCCCTTTCAAGTACTGCTCCATTTATTTTTCCTGGCGAGGCAGAATTTCCTGAAAAAGGTGTGGGTTACCATCTTTCCACTTTCACACTTGCCATTTAATCCGTAACCCTCAACAAAGGATTGTTCACCAGTATTTTTGTGTAGCTAAATCAAATGGATTCTTGGTAACATTTGGCACTGCTGGCCATGCCCTCCTTCCTCAAATGGTCTATTTTTTGGCATCCTGAATGGCACTCTCCCCTAATTTTTCCTCCCACTTCTCTGGCGTCCTCTTCTCCATCTTCTTTGTAGACTCCTTTCTTAAGACTTGCTGTTCCCTGGAGTTTTATCCTCAACCTTTTCTCTTCTTACATTACATTTGTCCTGGATGGCATGCTTTAGTAGCCACCTATTTTCTGATATCTCCCAAATTTACCCCTTGAACTCAGATCTTGGCCTGAGTTCCATACTACCCATATAGTTAACTTTTAGCTTTTTGGACATTTCCACTTGAACTCCACAGCAGTTC